GAAAAGTGCAAAAGCTTTCAGAACCAAATAATAACTAGCAACAAAGATACATAATCCGAAAAGAGGGGGAAAGCTCAGGTCTTTATAATTCGACAAAACTCACAAGCAAAAATAAGAGATAATGTGGTTGAAATAAAGCGTATTAACAAAATCTCTTACATGCTACTCAAGATGAAATTTTCGAAGGTTTATTCTTTTAATTCCATTTACAGATATACAGAAAACAAAGTACTAAATCACATCTTTACAGACAAGTTATGAGGGATGTGAAGACAACAAGAAGGGATAAACCAAGAGTGTAGAAACTTTTAGCACTCATGCATGTCACTTCATTATAGGCGTTCATCAAAAAGAATTCAAACATCTCTAGAAAAAAAATCCAGCTTCGTTGACCATGAAAGTCAAGGAAAAACTAGAAATTTTCAGGTTTCAATCAGAGAAGAGATTAGGCAGCATCAAATACTTGTATCTCCTCAGAATGACAAACAATATATTTACATAATCTTATTAGTGATGTAGATATAGATATGCACAAAGACTAAGAAACACATGACCATGGTAAAAATAAAAAAGGGAGCATCAAAGCCAGCAGTTATAATTACCATATGAATTGGGGTCCAATTTGCGAGGGGGCTGTTTGCCATCCGGCTGCCCACATCTGCGGTCCCTCCACAGCAAACGCAAATGGTGTGAGAATCAAGAGAGACAACATTGACAAACAAGCGTAGTAGTTCATTCCACTGACAGACTTTCCCTTCATGCCCCTCTTTGAAAAGATATTGCGAAACACAAATGCCAGATTCGATATCATAGCACCCATGAAACCTGCAGAAAATTGTTGAAAGATAAAATGTCAGGGCAGAAAGAACTGGTTAAACAAAAGGTGAACAAAAAGATCCATTACGATGTCACAAGGAGCTTCCCTCAATCACAAAATCACCCAAGAAAGTCACAGCAAAGGACCCCTGTATTTAATGGTTTAAGCGTCAAGCAGGCATATAGGCTCCAAAATCCCAGTAAAGGCCAGTTAGCTAAAGCAAATGAAGACACCAGAGACTTACATAGCATAACTAATTAGACAGAAGAGTATGTTTCTCGGTTTAATTCAAAGATCAATTTAGTTTTTCTCATACTATCTCCATATTCAAATTGTTTTCAAAAGTGACATAAAAAACAAACAGAATACACTAACCAAAATATTCTTTAAAGGAAAATTACTTTGTTACCAGTCATATTGAAATTTAGCTCAGTCACAGCAGCCAGAGCGCATCCACCAATAATTGGAATCAAGGACAGATAGACCGGCACCGGGAAGGTCTCCCCCAAAAGAAGCCTTGAAACCAACACACTAAACGCAGGTTCACCACTCTTGATGATGTGGGTGAATGAAACTGCAACTCTTGACATGCTAACGGTTGCTGCTACATGTCGTATTGTATGTGCAACAGCAACTATATTGAAAGAGACAAAAACATTAGGATCATTATTCATTAGAAAAACAAATCAATTCATGAAAAGAAACAAGAACTACTGAAGATCTTGTCAAGCCTGAAAGTTAGCAACAAATAGAGAAAGGGAGGCTATAGTAAGTTCTTCTTTCAATTTGATCTCTCTCTTTTTAATTTAAATATATGACTAAACTCCCCCAGTTCAGCTGCATGGTTTAATTGGACTAAATTTTCACTTTTATACTTGTGGTTTCAACCAATATCCACAGAAAAGTATGACATATTATCAAACAAAACATTGTTTGCTTTATATCCAGACAATTTTTCTCGGGAAACAAACAAAAACCCAGTCACTTACAGGAAACAAGGTCTTCCAGAAGTCAAGATCAGTCTTAGGGGCCTCAGCTATCTTTGTGGCCCAAGAGATCAACATCATAAGAGACCCACATGCGAGTGAGAGAGTGGAAGTAAGCCAAGGGTAGGGATATGCATTGAGGACCTTCTTGTTATAAATATTGAAAACCACATTCAGAGCCCACCATGTTGCAAAGTATATCCCAATTTTCACCTTCTGAGCTACCTCTGATGGTGTGCTTGTTTCAATGTCTGACCGCTCTGCCTCGTACGCTTTACATGTGATCAAACTCCGTTGTTTTTGGGATTTCGCAGAAGCAAATTTCCCAGTAGAGGAAAGGTACAAAGGCTTTTGCACACAAACAAAAGATTTCAGGAGCTTTGCTTTGGGAAGAGAAGGTGAAAACGAAGATATCTTAACTGGGTTTGAATGTTTTCCCTGGAAAATAGCTTCAGAGGAAGAAACTTTGATCGCCAGAGCAGATTGTTTCACAGAGCAAATCATTGTGCACAAAAATTTGAAAAACAAGAGCTCTGAACCAAAACCTCAATGAGTTGCTTAAATGTGATCAGAAGAGCCAAATACAAATCAAATCAGTAATCTCATATCAAAGGCCATGGAATGATGTTTTCTCTCTGAAACTTTAGATATTTTTATTGAATATTTTTTGGGTATATGAAATAATATTCAGAAATAAATATATGACAAAATTTAAATTCAAAAAATCTAGGCACAAACATCCATATTATATAATATATATTAGAAGGGTAATATGGAGATATTAAAAAAATATCATGAACATGTATTAGTTAAAATAAGTGAAAATATTACTTTTTCTCTCCTCCAAATCCCCCACTTTTGGAAGAGAGGATTATGAGGGGAGATGAGGGAAAATTTCAGAAAATTTTTTCTCTTTTCCTAAAAATTTTAACAACCAAACAAGAGGAGGGAGCAAAATCCCTCCTATTTCCTCTCCTTTCCTCCTTCCTTTCATATCAAACAAGCCCACTCAAATCATGGCCGCATGTGGAATGACACGAACCCATAATTTTGCGGTGATATTTTTATTTTTTCTTATTTGACTGAAGGAAATATATATATATATATATATATCTCACTTTCCTACAACAAAAAGTTACAATGGCTATAGTTTGATCACGGAAATTATGGGGGTAGAGCGAAAGAAAATGTTGCAAACATTAAGGAACAAGACGCAGTTCCAGACAACACATCTAAAAGAAAGCAAACAATCGGCCAAAACCAATGTCTTGCATGCTAATGCTTTTTGTCTACACGATCAAAGGGAGTGCTCATAGAGGATAACTGCCTTGCCGGAAGATTTGCTTCAATGAGCCCCCAGCATAGCAGTTTAATATCATAAACATAAAAGGATTAATATTTGACAGAGTCAATATTTAAATTCCTACCGAATATCTATATTTAATGCTTTCCGGGGGAAAAAAAAATTGGACGCCAAATTTTTGCTTACAATGAGCTCTCATTGTTAGTGGTATTGAAAAAATATTTTAGAGTGCATATAGCTAACTTAATCTAAATGTTTTTAAATTAAAAAATGAAAAAAAAAAATATTTACAATATTTAACGTCAAAAAGACACCAACCTAGCCCTAAGGTGCATGAGACCGGGCTTCAGGCTATTGACTAGCCCAGTCCAACCAATGGTGTCCGTCAAAGCTGATCCCTCTCGGCGGCTATCGACCGTGTCTGTGCCGTGCCATGGTGGTTACGCGCCAACCATGCTCTTCCACTGACAGCTGCAATCTGGATACTGTCACCCCTCGGCCATGCGTTCGAATTCTACGCGAAGCAACCAAATGACACCGTTGTTGCGCTCAATCTTTAGCCGTTATCGGAATCAAAGACACCACCGTTCATCGAAGTAGTTTTGCATTCAAGTTTTGTTCTTCTCCCGCCATTCCGGTGGAGATCTCTCTGATCCCTAATGATGGGTTGCTTCTGAATGCCAGGAGGCAAGATGTGTGCAAAAACGGTGCCGTTTTGTTTCTTTGCATAGTGTACTCCCAAGGGTGCTCCACATGGGATCTTGACGCCAGCTCGGATTGTGATGTGCCCGCCGACCCCTTTAAACCATCAGAATCAGCAACTACTGTAATTATCTAACTTCTTATTAAACTGAAATCCTATTTAGATTTCAGCCAGGCATTGACATTTGGCAGAGGAGAAAAAATGGTTCATGCATTGTAAGTCTCTAGATAAAGAAAAGTGCTGCTTAGCTTAATTGTCAGTAAGATGCTTCAAATCCAGTACGTTTTTCAGGGATACTTTCCGACCATTGCTCTGTTCTAAAGCATACTATAATACTTAAAATGTACAACATGTATGCTAGATTAACTCGATGAAATTTTAAAGCTGTTCTGTATGGAAAACTTGGAATTCAGCTATTTAGTGTACGATTTCTGTAATTAATTTTTTTTTAAAAAAAACATTTCCTAGAGTAATAAACTCTAAAATACTGAATGCTGCTATAATTCCAAAAGTCTAAATTAGTATTTGTCCTCCTTTCTCTGGCTTTGAGGTCTGTTTTCATTCCATTACAATTCTCAAACAACCCAATTGAGATTGGCTGTGATTGGTAGTTCATTGGCTTGAAAAATGAAGTTCAAGATTCGAGATTGAGTACTAATAATAACTCTCCACTTGGCCCATGGCATAGCTGTGTTATCGGTTTGATATTTCTGATTGATATCTTTTACGCATGTGTTTTGCTTAAGATTAATATCATAGAGGGTTTTGGCCTTTTGTTTTTAATATGTCTTTTACTTCTCGTGTACTTTGATCTCTTAAACTAAGCAGAATAAGTAAAAGCTATTGTGGCTTGGTAGCATTTTCTAGCTGGTGCTGTGAAGAGTAGGTTCTTGTTTGCACATTACTTTTTTAAGCAATTAAGTTGGATGTGGCTCTGAAAATATATGCATGAAAGAATACCAAAATCCACATCAAATTTGGGAAAAAAGAAAAAACCAGAGAGAGACATTTTCACCTGCATAATCCTTCTGTAGCTTCCAGTCATAGACATTTTCTTTGATCAGACATAGCTCAGTTCCAACATAATATTTTTCCTGGACTTGATCATTCCATGCTATGAAATACTGCATACTGCTATGAATCCAGAATCCCAGATTATATGTGGCTCTTCAAGAAATTAATGTCTTTATCTAGTTATGATTTCCCTAATAAAGAAAAAACACTTCCGAATGTAACAAGCTATAAAATACTGAACACTGCCATAATTCCATAATCTTTTTTCTTATATTTCTTTTACTTCTCATATATTTTGATCTCTAAAACTAAGCAGAATGAATAAAAGTTATTGTGGCTAGCATTTACCAGCTAGTGCTGTGAGGAGTAGGCTCTTGTTTGCACATTACTTTTTTGAACAATTAAGTTGGATGTGAACCTGAAAATATCTGCATGAAAGAATGCCAAAATCCACATCTAATTTGCTGAAAAAAAGAAGAGAAAAATACAAGATTTATTGAATATTTGAATACTGTTATCTGGTTTGAGGCCCCACCCACATCATCTTCACCTGCATCACCCTTCTGAAGCTTCCAGTGATAGACATTTTTCTTTAATCAAACATAGCTCAGTTCCAACATAAGACTTTTCCTGGACTTGATCATTCTATGCTATAAAATACTGTAAACTGCTATGAATCCGGAATCCCAGATTATGTGTGGCTCTTTAAGAAATTAATGTTTTGTTTTCCTTTCTCTGGTTTTGTTGAACTATGGTTTTGTTCGATACAAATTGTCAAGCAACCTGTTTTAGGGATACACACACACACACACACACACATAATTGCTGGTTAATTGGCCTGGAAAATGAGATTGAGGATTCAATCAAGCTGTGCTAATTGTTTAGTTTGAAACAATGACTTACGTCACAGATGCATCTTTCTTTTTGATATGTTAAGGCCAAAAAATGACAATTATTTTGGGCTCCAATAATAAAAGAAGGATTATTTTCACTTTTCCTCCTGTTAAAGGAAAAGAATCCATAGGATAAACCCAAATGAAAGTAACGTATGTAATACAACAAAGCAAAAGCACAATGAAAATGCATGGAATAACTTTGAAATCAACATTAAGAAATAAACATAGCTTACTTTACTAACTTTGGAATCGGTGCCTCCATCCCTGAAGAGCTCAGGTAAAGAACAAATTCTTGCAAGTCTTTATTTATCAACAGGTTTAGACTTTCTTCTTATATATATTCAATCCAATTCATCTCTCGTTTGTTCTTGCTTGTGTTGATGAGCTATTTGTTGCCTCCTTCAAATTTCCAAAAACCATACATACGTGCCAGCAGTGTCAACCATTTTCTTCAGCGTTCCTTCATCGTTTGAATTCTCGAAATATCATCAACGTTGTCTGTATTATATTGGAGGTAAATATTAGTTAATTTGGAGATTCTTTCGTTTTATTAATATTTATTAAAGAAAAAAATTTTCCAATGCACATAAATTTTGTTTTTTTCTCAAGGCCTCTTAGTTTGCCCTCTTGTTTCTTTCAGTTTAGTTTCAGAAGAAGATCAAATCATTATCAGTCTGCTGGTCATCGATTCATATTAAAGGTAAATAACAGACTATAATTAAGTTGTTTATTTGACATGTCCATAAATTACATTTCCTTTCCCAAAAGAACATTTGATGTTTTTTTTTTTGGGCAGTATATGGTTGAGGGGAAAAAAAAAGGATGTTGAGCGTTATTTGAGCACTATGAAATGATAACGAAAAAAATGAGTAATCTGAATTGTGTAATGATCATCCAGAGTTATTTATTCTACTCAATGTTATGTTCTAGGTTAAAAAAAAATACGGGCAATTCTTGAAGAAAAAAAGGTTCTAGGTTATATAATTACATACTTACAATTCATTTTTGATGTTGCCTATGAGAAAATGGATGGAAGGTAGCTATGTTAATAATGCGTATTTGTTGAGAAAAAAATTATTTAATATCATACATTGAAGTTAACGTTGCACGGGGAAGTAAATGCTAGTTAACTTGTAAATGACACAAACTCACGTATAAATATGTGAGTTTGACTAGTGAAAAACGCAAGTCGAACTTATAAATATGAAAATTTTGGGACATATCTATATTTATTTTTCTTATCTAATACCTATGAGCAATTTTCCCAACTTTTTATTTTTTTTAACCAAAAATATTTCATTAAACAAGAAACGAATAGTACCATCCAGAAAAACAACAAACTGGAAAGGAAAGAGTACAAAAGACAAAAGTATAGTTACAATCAATTAGCGAACTCTCATTCAAACAACAAAACTATTCTAAACATTCTTAGTGTTAATCCTAATAATTTACAAGTTTTTCTTTCTTTATTTCTTTTGAATTTCACAATAATTTACATTAACGAATACTCTTAGTAAATGAGCTCTTTAAAATTTAATTTTTGTACTATCGTAGTCTTAATTAATTAAATCATTGTTTCCTTCCTTAATGAAGATTGGCATGGCGCAATTTGATTCCAAGTCATCTCAGTGGACCTTTTTTTCCCTATCTAATTTGATTGCAGAGTTTGAGGTAATTAACTGAATATGTATTCTATATTTTTTTGTTGATTTCATTTTAGTTATTTGAAAGCCTTGTGATTATAAAAATTTCATATACATAAATATACAAGGATTTTTTTCCAACTTAAATGACTTCTATAATTATGTAAATAATACTTAGTTACAATACCTTAGTACTCTTTTTTTTGGGGGAAATCAGAGAAGATACCCTCTATTTTGTTGAAAAAAAGTTATCCATTTTATCATATCATTTTTAAAGAATAGTTATTAATTTACATTGCTGTCGATAGTTCTTCTGGTAAAGTATAAATTGAGAATTCCTGGTTTTCTTGTGCTCTCATAAGTAATTAGTTTCAGTTGTCACTTAGGGCTCAAAAGATATCAAAATTATTTACATGTAATTATCATAGCATCATTTCTTTGTTTTACATATCTTTAACTTATAGTACTTTTAATAGCATGGGAATATCAGAAGTAATACATTATTTTTCATCATTTAGGAAAAAAGTATAATAGCGGAATGAATACTTTTTTACTTGATTTTATATTTATAATATACGCATTTTTCCTCCCTTGTCATAATATTGAGAATTTCTCTTCATGTTACATAAATATCAATTATTGCAAAATATGAAGTACATAGAAAAATTAAATGAAAACATTTTTGTATATAAAACTAGGAATAATAAGATTTCGGATTTTAAAAAAAAAATTGCGAAATACAGTCTACTGAGCTTTGAAGACCCAGGTTACATTACGTATAAGTTCAAGTAAAGAATAATTTCTTTTCTTTTCTATTTTAATTTTGTTTATTTATTCAAAGCCTCATTATATTGTTTACACTGTTGTTTCTTTCATTCTGTCTCAGAAGCAGTTGTAATCATCAACTCTCTGCTTTGCTTCCCAAGAGTTCTTGTTCAGCCTCAAAAAAAAAAAAAAAAAACAAGGCAAAACAAAAGAGAAAACATATCATAAATTCATATTACAGGTAAGTAACAGTATATAAGTTTGTTTTTTTCCATTTTACGTGACAATAAAGTAGAAAGAAATTTTTTTATCCTATTTATTGTTTCATTAAATTAAATTTTTAACATAGTTATACTATTTTACCTTTCATTTATTATCGGGAGATTGTTATTTTCTTTAAAAATTTATATATTTAATAGGATAATTTTTTTTAACTTTAAGATAGATTTAATAAGATTTGGGGTTTTTCTTGATTTTAATAAAATATGCTTACCAGAGGAGGACACACATATTGCTTTCACATTTCTCTGCGTGTCGTTTAGGGCTTTCCTTGAATTCCTAAAATCCATTTTCAATCATGTCCTGACTGCCTTCCCTTGCTGCTCATCAGATATTGAAAATATTACAGGTAAATATTAATTTTAATCACACTATTATTAGAAAAATTAACAATGAAATGTTACATGTCGTTTTGTATTTTTGTGTATCACATTTAATTTACATTTATTGAATTTGATGGAATGCCTATTTTTGGAAATATATACTTGCGAAAGAAATCAGATTATTTTAAGTTATGTTTTTCATTATATTGAATTTATGTTATTAAACAAACAATTGATAGTCATTAAAAGATTAATTTTGTTTTACATCATGACTTATAGCAAATTCCAATCACAAAAAGAAAATAAAGTCCGAAAGGAGCAAAACAATGTTATATTAGACTAGTTGTCTTCTAGTAGTTGGAATGTTTGGATCTCCAAGTTTTTGGAATCCTCCAAATTCTATAAGGAAATAATACATAAAAATAGAATAATGTTTCATTTGGATCGGGTCGTTTGATATATATATATATATATATATATATATTCATAGTAACTTATGAAAATTTGAAATATTTTCATCAAAAAGAAAAAATAAATGGAGAATATCATCAACCTGAAAACTACTCCCTCTGGTTCAAAAGTATAAGTTAAACTTTGTTGGAGGGATTTTTTTTTTTTATAAGATAACATTCACTTTTGCCTAAATATTTAATAAATTTTTTTTAACATTACCCCCATATATTATCTTTCCTCTTTAATTCATTTATTACATCTTTTACTTATTATTTTTATTAATAAGGACATATTTGGAAAAAAATACATCTCTTACACATTTATTGCTTTAAATTGATTTTAACTAGTTTCTTGATAAACGTAAATAGATAAATTTAGCTTATATTTTGAACCGGATGGAGTATTTCAATAATTACCAATTTCTGAGTGTACATGAGTTTTATTTTTTTTCCCATTCTTTTGATTCGTCAATAATTATACAATAATGAATTTCAAGACTCTAAAATCGTTGAAAATTAATGTGTATGTATGTTATATGTTTGTACTAATTGGGTGAATTGTTGTTTGCTCTATGTGTGTGTGTAGTTGGGCATAATCTCTTAATTTCACTTGAGAGTCGCTCCGGAGGACGTTTCTGCATTATTTGTCTGATTTTATCATCACATTTGAGGTAAGCAACTATTATATCAGATAAAGTCATCTAACTAAATATTTATTTATTTATTTACTTATTTTTTTTCTTTGTTATTTTTCTTGTTATTCTCCGTGAATAATATAACAAGGGAGACTTGCCAATTACCAAATGAATTGGTGGTTTGGTAAATAACTTCTTTTTTCACTTTATTTTTTATGAACCAAAGGCACCCTTACCTTCATTATCGTCCCTCCACTTTACATGTCTATTGTATTGCCTCATCTGTTATATTCTTTGATTATCATTGGAGCTCAAAATTCAGAAATAACAAGTAATTTTATTATAAACTCAAGTCTCCCCTAATCTTTTTGCGCATGAAAAGTATTTGTTTTTCAATCAAAGGAACTAGGATTTATGCATTAAACACTGAATTTATTAGTTGCTTTTCTTATATTATTCTGAACTTCACTTGATTTAATTTTTTATAAGTAATCATACATTTTTAATTTAAGTCAATACAATTTATTAATATGATTATTAAAAGCTTTAGTTTTTCTATTAAAATAAAAGTATGTTGTATTGAGTGCTTTTTATTTAGAAACGGAAAGGAATATAGATAAAATGGCGTTGTTATTAAAATAGTTGAGTTTTAAATTCTGATTTAGAAAAGCGTAGTGTCCAAGAATATACGTGTGTGCGTGTAATGATTTTTAGACATGCATGTACTTTGGACAGCCACGAAAAAAAATGCATTCAATTTTGGTTTAGAAGACGTTTTCTCATAGTTGATATATCTATATAATATAATATGTAATTACCATTTACCAAGATTACCAGGTAATATTGTTATTGTTTGAAAAAAAAATGGTAGTTACATATATAAGTTCTAAATAAAGAATTTATTTTTACATAAGTTTTGTGAATTTGCTTAAATATTACTCTCACATACCTCAAATAAATGCTTAAATATTAATTTTTATTAAATATTTTAATATTTACAAGTTAAAGTTAATCAATTTTCAAATAAATTTCCTAAGATATTATTATTTTAATGTTGGCAAAAAAAATTTACTAATTTATAAGTAAACTTCTCAGATTTACAAAGTCAACATCTTAACTTATTCTTTTCTCCTTTTGGCATTCACTAAATTAGATTCAGTCGTTTTCATTTGCTTTGCTTCATTCTCCTACTGCTCAAAAGATTATCACCATAATCTTCATCACTTATGTATTACAAATAAATAATAGTAGTATATAGCGTATAAATTATTTATAAAGTTAATTAATTAATTAAACTGCCATGTGAATTTTTATAAACTGTTTTAATACAATATCTCAGAAATATATTTATGAAGTGAATTATTTGTTCATTCAATCTCAAACTTATACATATTGTACGTGTTTGTATGCTTGTGACATTATTTTGTGTTGGAATTATTACAAACTGGTGTATCCATATGCAGGGTTGCCTTGCGTTGCGTTAGATGGAAGAAATTGGGACTTGTATAGCGACCAAGCTTGCAGAGTGTCTGTGGGATCCAATTTCACGTCGTGCTCGTTATTTGTTTTGCTTCAACCAATTCATTGGAGATTTTGAGAAAGCAAAAGAAGAGCTGGAGGTGACATTAGAAGACTTGAACAAGCGCAAGGAAGAAGCCGATCGAAAAATAGAAGAAATAATGCCGTCTGTGAGGAAGTGGTTGGATGATGTGAATGCTATCCTAAAGGAGGTGCAGAAGCTGCAACAGGAGGTTGGAGGAGAAGGAAAGAAATGTTTTAACGTGCCATTCAAGTATTCCTTAGCAAGACAAATGGATGATATGGCTAAGCAAATGGAGAAACTCAACACCAAATCCCACTTTGAATCATTTTCCCAGTTGAAACAACTTCCTGACATTACCTACTTCCCTTCCAAAGAGTTTGTGGATTTCAACTCCAGAAAATCAACTTATAATCATCTTTTGGAGGCAATTAAAGATGGCAAGAACAAGATGATTGGACTCTATGGCATTGGCGGTTCGGGTAAAACCACTTTAGCAAAAGAAGTAGGCAAGACAGTGCATGATTTGAAGCTTTTTGACAAGGTCATCATGGTAGTTGTTTCGAAACCTCCAAATGAAAAAAAAATGCAGCAAGAAATAGCAGACCAAATTGATTTGAAATTTGATGTGGACACTCAATCTGTAAGAGCACAAAAGCTATCAAAAAGATTGGAAAGCATGAAAATTCTCATAATCTTGGATGATGTGTGGAGCAAGCTAGATCTTCAAGAAATTGGTATCCCACTTAATGAAAATTGCAGCATTTTGATAACCACTCGCCTTCAAGATGTATGTGAGTCTATGCGTTGTGAGAGAAAATTTGAATTGTCTCTCTTAAAAGAGGCAGAAGCATGGGTTTTGTTAAAGATGCACGCAAACATAACCAGTGATTCATTAAATGAGTTTGATGGTGTGGGAAGGAAAATTGTTGATGAGTGCAAGGGACTACCTGTTGCAATTGTGACAGTGGGAAGCGCACTAAGTGGAAAAGGTATTTTGGAGTGGAAGTCAGCACTATCGAGGTTACAACAATCCCTACCATTGGATGTTGATGAGAGTTCAAGGGGGCCTTATGCATGTCTCCAATTGAGTTATGATTATTTGCCAAGTCTAGCAAAGCAACTCTTTCTATTGTGCTCTATGTTTCCCGAGGATCATGAAATTCATAGAGAGGATCTTATTCGATTTGCCAAAGGGACTTTGAACTTTGAGGAGACTGTTTACACAATGGAGGATGCAAGGAGGGAGATTTTAGTAAGCATCAACAAGCTATTAGATTCTTGTTTATTAATGCATACAAATGAGCAAGCATGTGTAAAAATGCATGACTTAGTTCGGGATGTAGCTTTGTGGATTGCAAAGAAGAAACATCAAGCAATTTTGGTGGATAGCCATGTGGTTTCAAGAATGTTGGCTGAAAATGGAAGTTTGAAAGAGGCAAAGGTGATATCATTATGGAATCTGGAAGGCAATTTTTGGCAGTCTAATCAATTGCATTGTCCAACACTTGAGGTTCTGCTACTTCATCCCAAAGGGTTCATTGAAGATCTTGGAGGGATTGAAGCGCTCAAAATCTTGGTGCTTGCAACATCTAGCTTTCAGTGGGAAGGACTTGGTTGGCATACACAAATTCAATGGTCAATGCCGCAATCAATTGTGTCATCATTACTTAATCTTCATACCTTATGCTTCAGAGGAATTGCATTGGGTGACATCTCTTTTCTAGGTCAACTCAAAGGATTAGAGATTCTTGACTTGCGTGGTTCTCAATTTGGTGAATTACCTATTGAAATTGTAGATATGAAAAAATTGAAGCTGTTGGATGTGTTTGGGTGTAAAATTGACAAAAGTCCTTTTGAAGTTATTAGAAGATGTGAGCAACTTGAAGAATTATACTTTTGGGAAAAGAAATCTGTCATCCCAGAAAATTCCTCTCTTTCAAGGTTGAAGAGGTT